ATTTGACAGTTGCCCCCCTCGGAGCGACGCCCTTTGCCACCTGGTATCACAGGGCTAGCCTCACCCTTTTATTATTATCTATTAGGCACGTAAAATAGTAATTAAAGGGGGTTGTAAGACACCATTTTTTTTGTGTGCAAATTAGGTTACAACCACATGATGATGTTGGTCACCACATCACCCCTCTAAATAACCCACCTTGCCCCCACCACCCACCTGCCCTCTGTGATACTGCGCCGAGCACTTGACAGTTGCCCCCCCCCCGAAGACCCCTGGAGACACAGCGGACAGTCGCGTTGAATTGTACTACGGCAAATCTCTCGTTATATTATTATTTCCCGCCACGGCCGACAGTCGCTTGGCTAGGCGGAAGACGTCGCTGATAGTGTGGGCTGGGTGCAGTGGCGGACTGGCCCGGGACGAATCCCGATGGGCCGGTACCGAAGTGGGCCGGTCGGATAAGTCACTAGCACATCCCCCACTCCCCCCGTTGACAATTTACTAGTTGTACCGAAGTGGGCCGGTCGAGAGTCCCGGGCTGATTTTTAGTCCCAGTCCACCACTGGCTACATGACCGTATGATCGCCCATATTGACGCACCTAATTCCTAAACTTCTAACAGATACAAAATAAACCGATCCTTCAGCCTCATATGAGCTCTCAGACACGTTCAAAATTAAACTGTCATCGCTGTCTGAGCTTGCTGCTGTGTGCGGCATCGTGCGTTTACATGCAGATGCTGGGATCCTGAACGGTGCAGCTGGAGCGCTGTGCCCGCATTGACGTCACCCATAATTTGGCGGGACTTGAAGAATCCCCGAGAAGATCCAGGAAATGGTCAACATTGAAGGGCAGATTAATGGTTATCAAAGTACAAATATCCAAAATCAGTTCAGTAACGGTTTTCAAGGGGACAATATTTACTCAAATTGATGGGTTTGGATGATGGGGGGAAATCGTGTCACAGGCTCTTTAAGTAGCCTTAGACTGAAATCACAAGGGGAACTCAGCACCTTGCTAGAAGGTTAGTTTCCTACTAAAGAGATGCGTTCAAGTGGAATAAGGGCTTTCATAGATCTACAAAGGTCCATCTTTTAGGTCCCAAGGTGTTTGATGTCCATAGCTAGTTGTTCAGGTGAAAAAGGAATTATTCCAATGTTGCTTCTCAACCAAATACATAAATCCTATTTATTTTCCCTGTGTGTCTTGAAACTAGCTCCTCAATGTTTAAGGATCAGATCCCAATGCTTTGTCTTTCAATAAAACAGAGACACATTGTCATCAGTGAAATAAAAATGTCCTCCAATTCATTGTTTTACATCAATTCCAGTTGTGAGGAAGCTGGAAGAAAGATGGCTGTCGTGCAGGGCCCAACAATAAGCTCTGCCTTTAGGAAATCTGGGGGGGGGATTAGTTTATATTCTGCTCTCTAATGAATGGTAATGAGGTAGGGGGTGAGGAAGGGAAGACTGATACTGTAGACATAATACCCATAATCCCTTTTGAACTGTAGAAACTGAAACTGAGCCAGTTTTCCGGGCCTTTACAATTACTTCACTGCTATAGCATAACATCAGATCAATGCATGGTCATCAAGACTTATGTATCCGTTTAGTTTGAAAAATTACAGTTTATTTGTATAGCTAGATATTCCCACTGTCTTTATAAAGTCTAAAGGATAAGTCTGATTTTACACTGAAAGCCTTTTTTTTTTTTTTCAGAAAACAAATGTTCTGGTTAGTACTGAATGATTATTCTTAAAGGTTATTTAAGGATTTTTACATAAACTACTTACAAATAAATCTGTATTTTTAGTGGTTGTCAGGAACGCATCGATATACATCAATGGCCAAAGAACAGGTTGTATGTGTATGTTTTTTGAAGACATACCATCTGTTTATGTTTCTACATTATGAATGAGCACATTTCATCGGTTCTAGTATGGCTTCATTTTGAATATTACACTAGCAACACTTATTGCGGAATTGCTGGTGTCTTTCACCTGCCGTTTCAAGTCCGAGACCCCTCCTCTCTGCCTTACCCGCCTGGATGTAATCCTTGCTGGGACTTTTTAAAAGGGACTGAATGCAATTTCAAGTCTAATCAAATGCAATCACATCAGCAGCCAGCCACGTTACATAAAACACTATTTATGGCGGTCTGGGTTTTTTTTTTCTCTATATCTCTTTCCTCTCTGAACATTTTGGCATAGTTCCTATCTTATACTTTATTTTAGCTGAATTCCAGCTATTTCTTAGGAGAGACAGAGGTCCTAGCCCTGGCCTAGCACTTTTAAGTAAAACATCACGTCCTTACAAGTGGACTTCTAAAGCTGTCCCTTGAAAATCAATCTCACGTTTGAGGCGAGGTTTTCATATTCAGCACTCTAGCAAGGAGCAATATGAAGTGATAAAGAATCACTACAGTGATGTGAGAGTGGCATGAATGTGCATGGTGTATTGCTGTGCTGTTGTTCCTCCTTCCAAAGGCTCCTTGTTACTGAGGAGAAGAAATGGGGTCAGAATAGTGTCAAGTTCATTCTGGCGTATTCTGTGACGGCTTGGTAGAAGAGAAGACATGAACCGAGAGCTGAGAGGAGAAGACTGCTATGTTGCTAAAATAGCTGGTGACAAAAAGGGGAAATCTCAGTGGAAACCTGAAATATCAAAAAGTAGCTTATTTTGAGCCGAAGATGGAGAAACATGGGGGCACCCCTTACCTTGCCCCAAATTACACATGAAGCAAGAAGAGAGAGGGGAAAGAGATCAGAAACACATTCACAACTATACATTAAAATCAAGCAAGATGCACAACTGCAGGAGAGAAGCTAGGCTGAGCAAAGATTCACATGAAGGTTCGGGCGGTAATCAAACCAAACATGTGACCTCTAATTCGAGAGTTTTTAAGAAGCTTTTTCTACACATCGCATTTTGAAGGCCTGGACATAATTTAAGATACTATCACCCTCGTCCTGAATGAGGAAAGGGTGAGGTCAAGTAGATAGCGATTGTATTTGTGTATATGAACACGCAAGATAAGAGCGATGCCTCCAGGAAGCCAGTGAGGCAGAGTGAGGCTGATAGGGCGAGGCAGTCCACTATTAATATTTGATTGGAGCCTAGTGATGGCTCGGGGACACAGAGAGGACTGTGGAGTCCCAGTGGGCCACAGAAACAAGGACACTGCCACAACTTTTGATTCCTTAGCTCAATGCTAGACTGTCATGTGAGGTCTTTTTTTGTTGTTGTTTTAGACCTGCAATCATTCCTGCAAACCCAGTAAAAACGCATTATGTTGGGACGGGTTCACATACTGTATCTGAAATGTCCAAATATTTGTAGTGTTAAAAATACCTAAATCAAAAAAGTGGATGACAATGTTCTGAAACTTTTCTTTGGTTTACTAGCACAAACGCCCTAAAAAATAAATACTATTTTCCAAAACTGCTAGAGAAGTTACCTGCTAAGGATGACTAAAGATACCATTTTGTCTTGAGAGGTTCCGGACCAAAGAAACAGTAAATAAACATTAGATTTGTCAGGGGTGCAAAAAAAAGAAAAGACAAATGTGCTAATACAAGTAGCTATAACGGCTTAATATAGCAATAGCATCTCAGCGGTTCTGTAAATTTCATTTAAAGTAAACAAAAATGGCTTAATGCAGCACTTTATATGCTATCCCAACGTTTCTATAATATGCGCTCTGTCTGAACATAAGAGAGTTAGGTTATAAGGTATATTTAAAGTCCACAAGATGTTTAAAACAGCGAATACATCTAGTGGGAACATATGTATAAATGATGAGCTACATGTACAGTATGTGGCCTGGATGAGAGTTCATAGCTCAGTCAGTTGGCTACTATGGGTTATATCTCCACTGCAAGACATTTAAATAGTAAAACAACAGCTTTAATAGTTGTGGACATCATGAGAGCCAGCCCAGCCTTGCATCTCCCACTGTGTTCACCATGCCTCTCCCCCCCCCCCCACTCGCTGGAGTGCATGCACCAGTTCAGTGCCCCATGCAGCATTCACTGACAGCTCGTGGGCAGCTCCATCCTTAAAGTGACAAGGGTGAACTTTCCAGTGTCATTGTCAGACAGAGAAAAGAAGAGAGAGGGAAAGAGGAGTGAGGGGGAAGTGCAATATGAAGAATGATGGAAAGTGAGACTGATTCTGGTGGAGTTATAGAAAAGTGACTTGCTAGAAAACTGTTGCCAGAGAGGACAGCTCTAAAGGTAAAGGTGGAGTGTTCATGTGGCAGAGGTGAAGTGGGAGGAAGAAAGTTAGCAGAAAAAAAGCGAGACAGGAGAGCAGTTCTGTTAGGTCGAGGCCATGCTCTGTGGCTGCGTTGAAGAAGATGAAGGGATGAATATGGGTGGGTCAGCGAGCCTATCAGATCGCAGACAGGAGGTGACATGTGTGCTGATGAGGAAAACGACAGCAGTAGTTGGGCTTCCATACATCAACATCGATTGGGCAAATGGAAAGTGAAATATTCACCAAAAAATTCTCAAAGATTAATCATTGATTTGATTTAAGTGGAAGAGCTTTTGCTAAAAAATAGCAACCTGGTCACATTTGTTATATTTAGTTTAAAAGGAGGTCTGAAATGATGGCTTTATCCATGATTAATTCCTACTGTGATTTTTATTGCATATTTTATAATTAGTTGTCATTGGCCATCAGCCAACAGCTGAACATCACAAATCCTAGTTGACACTTTTCCCATTCTCTTTATGATATGTTTAACATTTAACAATCCTCAACTTGTCTTAACTAAGCAACTGGATAAACACTAGTTGAAATTAACTTTTTTACGATTTATCAAAAGGTTGCGTAAAGCCTGCTATATAGTAAAATGGAACCATAGCTAATGCTGCAGGTGACAAGTGAATGGAAGATGTGGTTAGTGACGTGGTCATGCGCTGAGCCACCCGTGCTGAGGAAGAAGAGGCAGAAAAGAGGGGAAATGGAAGGACCATAAAGTGTGAACGACAGGAACAGAGAAGGGTTAGAGGCGTGGCATGCCCTGTGTGCTCCACCGTGCTACCTTGTTCCATCAGGCCTGCGGCGGAGCCGGCAGCTGCAGCCACTGCTGCTGCTGCCACGGTGACCGAGGCTGGAGTGGTGGTCTGCCTGCTGCCCACTGTTAAGAGTCCAATAGCCAGTCAGTTGCAGAGCAGGGAGGAAAGGAAGGTGAGAAGGAATTGGATGAGAAACAGGGGGAAAATGGAAAAATGGTGGAGTGAAATTTAGAAAGAAAGGGAGGGTTTGAGTCAGAGACAAAGCAGGTAGGTGGCAGGGTGAGGAAAAATGTAAAAAAGGTGAGGTGGAGACAAACATAATTTATGAGTTCATTAGGGGGGTTAATTCGTATACACAAACTAGAGACAAAAAATCTGTCACTTATGAATCTGCTGCTGGTAGAAGGATCAAATCAAATGTCAAGGAAAAACACAAATCTCAAATTAATCTGAGAACCTTTGACGCTTGCATTTTGTCTCAAAGCATCCCTGAAAACATTGTTATAGTTAGGATGATGACAGTGATGAAGTTGCAGGACTTAGTCAATGTTGGTAAATGTTAGATTTGTAGAGCTTGTTCACCTCTACAACAGTCAGAAATATGTTAAATGCATAACAGGCGGTCATACTTTGTATTCAAATTAAAACATATTGTAGAAATAATAGTGAACTTTAATTTAAACCATAACCTTATCCTCATACATTTTGAATGCTACAAGATATAAACATGTGGATAGAAATAGAAGCTCCCCTGTGTCAGCACAGGGACACTGATACACTGCTCTGTATAATGTATGATTCATGATGAGAGAACTCGTTTATGTGCTAATGTAGTGTTATTAAGTTATGTATTTGTCACCTAATGACCTCACACTTCATAAGAGGAAAGAGAGAAAGGAGAACAAATGTATTTAAGAACTTGACACAGCAGGGCCACACACCTGGGTCAATGTTTGTGTGCGTGCGTGCGTGCGTGCGTGCGTGCGTGCGTGTGTGTGTGTGTGTGTGTACTGTATGTGGGGGGGGGGTGTGTGAGTGTGAGTGTGTGTGTGTGTCCTCAAATTGAGAAAGTGTGATCAATAGAAAACTGTCTCCCCAGCAGTAACATCTCCACATCATAAAAGGTTACGTATAAGTAGAAGCTAAAAACGTTAAGCGTGCTCAGTTATTGTAAATAATTAAAGCTTTCTATACTGTAATCTCACTGAACAGGATATGCTCTAAATCTAAATGAGACCAAAATAAAATGTATTTAACAGCTATATTTTTTAATATACCATTTTGAATAAGTTGTACAAGACTATGCTTTGTATTATAACGGTCTAAGTACCTAACCTGGATAAAAGACACCAAAGGGAAGCACTGAAGTTGCACTGAGATGAACTTTACATAAATATATTTTTTACGGATCTATTGACCAAGGGAGACTAATCGGTCTGTTACTAAATGTCTAATGTTACCAGTGTTTACGAGGCACATGCCACCATTTGGGCAGACATCAAGGATATTCTTGACATATATATTTGAATATATGCTTATATTCAACAATCTTTCTTAGTACTTAATGTGTATTAACATATAACTGGCATGCAGCAGATACAATCCCAAAATGTTGCATGCGTAAATAACCTTTATATTGATGGATGTTGTTCCACTGATATAAATGGTCGAACAGTTCTACACGATTATGTTGAGGCAACACTTACCAGAGAAATTTCGAGAAACCAGCATGGTAGTAAGAATAGCCCCCTGAGAAGAAAAAAAAAAAAAGTTCAAATGTAAACACTTTAACTAGCAACATAATCATTTTGAAAAATGTATGTGAATAGTTTTTTAAGAATATGCCACATTTTTATATATTTTTCTATTCAAAGAATACTGTATGTTCCTGCATCATGGTCCCTATTTTAAATATCTTACATTATTTTCCTTTTTCTCGTTTGCTCTGCAGTTAAATGTCTCACACTGCTAATCCATGTTTTTCTAAAAATGACAAGACACAGACAACTGGTACATGCCAATGGCAGGTTGGTTGCATGTTGGTCACCCATTTGCTGGTATTTGAGCCATGCCAAGACTAGCCAAAAGCAGCATGGTAACAGTGGTCTGCTCCAATGGCTGAGGTGTTGTATTTGCACACACTTTCAGCAATACATCGGTGAAGAAGGGAAACCAGGAATTGAGGATAAGTCTGGATTTAGACACTTTTTTAATAACTTTAAGCATATGCCATCTTCATAAAAAAAAAATATATATATGTTTTAAACAACAGGCCATGAATTTGTAGATCACCTTCTGGCAGTAACGCTTAAATAAAGAAGTAGAAATAAAAGAATAAAGTTAAGGAAATTATCATTTTTATCCTGATCTTATCAGAGCAAAAGTGGAAGTTGTGGGGGAGAATGAGCATGCAAACAAACCTTGAGTTTCCTCCTGGCGTTGAATTTCTTCAGGCACTCCACGGTCTCCTGTCTGTGCATCATCGACGCCACTGTGGACCGTTGCTGGGAGAAGGAAGAAGAGAAAGAGGAGGAGAGAAAAGTGGCGGAAACAAAGGAGGAAAGTTCATAAAAAGAAGAAAGAAAACGACAAGATTAAATCAGTCATACAAGTCTTTTCAATGCGTGCAGTAGATGTGTGAAAAAGAATTGCTGTCTGATTGTCCATCTCCAGCAGGGGACACTTACGCAGACCCACGGGTGCTTGAGGGCCTCCTGAGCAGTGATCCTCTTGGCTGGGTTGATGGTCAGCATCTGGTTGATCAAGTTTTTGGCCTCAGGTGTAACTGTGTCCCACTCCGGGGAAGGGAACTAAAAAGGGAAGCAGAACCACGTCTTCAAATTCAATGTGGAGCTGAAACAATCTGTTGAACAATCCATTCTTTGATGGACAGAATTAATCATTATTTTGATAATGAAATCCTAATTTGTCATCAAAGATGCCAGACATATGCCGGGTCTAAATGTGCAGGATTTCTCTGCATAATATTATTTCATATGAAATATCTTTGAGTATTGGGCTATTTGTCCGAAAAAAATAGCAATCTGAAGACAAGACTTTGGGCACTGGGAAAATATATCCAATCAAATCAATAAAGACACTGATGCTACTAACGGTTACGTTAATCAGAGAATTTCAATGGTGCTGGAATCCGGCAAAACGACAATTTTTAAATAACTAAACCAAAAGGTTTACATGAAAATGTTCATTATTACTGTAATAATATCGTTATTATCCAGCTGCTTTTGAAATATTCACAATTATGAGACAGCACTTTTAATGTTAATCTTTTAGAGGCAAGTTTAAATCTTTTCGCCATCCAAACATTGAAAGACAATCGAATTAAGACCTTTGACACCTCCAGATGTTGAAATTCTGTTTGATCTAACATAGGTAATTGCAGAACCATTCAAGCTTGCATTTAAAAGTCAAGAATGCTCCCCTTGGTTTGCTATTTGTTAGACTTTTTTGTGACCCAAGTCATCAAATCTGAATCAGTTACTGAATGTGCATGTTTTTGTTTTTAAATCATATATTAAACATGCAAATACAAGCGAACCAATCAGAGCAGACTGGTCTCTGGTTTCAGACAGAGGGTAAAAAAGGGTGCTGCAGCAGTATGAGAAAAATAGAGACCTTTTTGAACATTAAAGCGTGTAAACATGTAACAGTAGAGCAGAGTCCTGCATCGGGTCGTGTACCCGTCGGGTGACCCGCAAAAAAAGTGATTCGCGGGTGCTATTTTTTCAAACGCTTTTTTCCGGGTTTGTTTCTGGGTAAAACAAAGATGATGCGGGTCGGGTCGCAGGTGTTGCATAATAAATATATCTAAATAATAATAATTTAGTTTAATGTTTAAATCCTCAGACCTCTCTCCGCGGGACCGCGCATAATCATAACCTCTGCAGCGCATCAATCTGCTGCTGAGCGCGCCACATTCGAAATGGCTGAGGTGAAGGTGGAGCTCGGAGAATACAGCATTTTCAATAACACTTCCTCAAGAGCGAAATCCATCCAATTGATAGGACATGCCTTGAACATGACAGCCACTGCTCCCCTGTGTGTTTTTTTCAACAACATCTAAAACCCAGTCCAAGCTCGGCCCCTGACAATGTTTTTTGGAATTCTGATCCCACACATGTCGAGGTCTGATCCCTGAGCCCAGAATCCCTGCCAGAGAATCAGTCCGCCTGTCTCTCTCCATTTGGCATGAACTTAAATATGATCTCAGGTGAGCCTCCCTCTCTTGCAACCCCTGAAATATGAATGAGGCGACTGAGTTATGTAAGCACATCCAAAACGAACGGGGGCAGTGGGAGGAGAGGGGAGGGTATTACAGCAGGAGCGGAGAAATAAGACAGCAAGAGAGGAGAGGAGACTCACATCGTAAGCCCCCGCCTTGATCTGCTGGTACAGCTTGTGCTGGTCCTCGTCCCAGAAAGGAGGGTAACCCACCAGCAGGATGTAGAGGATAACCCCTGAGACATGAGCAGAAACACACACGCACACGCACACACACACACACACACACACACGCACACACACACAGAAAACGTGTTAGAAAATGTGCTTCAGTATGTTCTTTTTTGTGTACAATTATCAATGAAATACCATAGTGTATGTAAAGTGTGTTTCTCTGTACAACTCACCGCAGGCCCAGATGTCCACAGGTTTGCCATATGCCTCCTTCCTCAAAACCTCAGGGGACAGATACCCCGGTGTGCCAGCAAATCCTGCAGCGCACGCACACACACACACACACACACACACACACACACACACACACACACACACACACACACACACACACACACACACACACACACACACACACACACACACACACACACACACACACACACACACACACACACACACACAATGGATTGATTGTGACTCAAGGAACCATATGTGCTATCATTAGATAAGCTTGTTTAGAGAGCAAGATAGTCTTCCTGTTATCATGACCTATTCATCCATACAGTGGACTGAGATGTAACAGGAAGATTCAAAGCTCGAAGATCTTCTTGAGCTTGACCTTTATGATCAGAGTTTGACATCCTTAAAAAAAGGAAAAGTGCACATATCCTTAGGGGAAGTGAACAAAGAGCATTAATGAATGACCATCGTTGGTACCAGATCGAAATGGGTTCACTTCTTATACCAAAGTTCTGATAAAGTGTTTTTTCCGAAGACAAACTGGGCCACTTTGTTGTAAAAAGGACGAAGGTCTGATTTCAGTACAATACAAGCTAGGGTGGCACCAGCAATGTCAGTTCGAATTGATAAACTAAGCGTACATTTTCTAAGGAATGCATCCTAACATCAAAACTTAAAGCATGAATAACAATTTATCATAACGATATACTCTTTTCTTGTAAGTTAAGACATGCTCTCCTCCAGCTGGACCCTCCATTACCCTTTATTATATCTAGGTCTTTCTTCCTTTACTAAGTATTTAACATACATTCGTAAGCCTAACCTCTGACAGGAAGTGAACAAATTAACTGAGCTTTAAGTAACTCCTGTATCTTCTGTACCTACCAAACCAGGCCTGCTGATCCCCCTGCACCTCAATGGCCAGGCCAAAGTCGGCCAGCTTCACTGCGGCATTCTTACATTTGCTGGCTAGGAGCAGGTTCTCTGGCTAAAGTGGGAAGAAGGAGATAAAGGAGATCACCAAACATTTTGAAAGGAGGGTTGGGGGCAAAACAAATTAACACTGTCCAAATGGGGGAAGATAGCTATTCATGCACAATGTTTGTAATTGGGTTGATTAAGTTCTTATCATCACACACATACAAAACACACATACACACACGGAAATAGATGTCACTTAAATTACTTGTTTGAACACATAAAATAAAAGTTAAACCAATGCATTTTTGGCCTAACTTTGAATGTACTGTTTAGCTCACAAAAAGCTGCAGTGCTTTCTTGTCCTATCCTCATGCGGTGTGCTGTGGTCTATAGGCTCCATCTCTATGGCCCAGATAATGCGTTCCGCCTCATTATTCTCTGTCAGAAGAGGGCTCTAATAATGGGATGCTATTCCCACTGGCCCTGCTCATTTTGTCTCTCGACATCTCTCTCAACTCTCACTTAATCATTGCCTCTGTTACTGCAGCTGGTAATCTCTAATGACAAATAAAGCATTCCGGTGGAAAATATTAACACTAAATAATAAGTGTCTTTTATTCATCGAGTTGTTTTGTTGAAAAATTATCAGACTAGATACCAGGGTTGGCTAACAAGCTAATTTGTTCAGTCAATAGCCAGTATGTTAGGCTAGACAATATATGATTTTCCACTCCATTAAAACAAGGACATGCAGTTCTTTGACTCTGCCCATTACCATACCATTACGTTCAGCCTTTGTTTAACAGAAACTCCCAGACATGGTTATCATCTGCAATCCCTGATTGTGTTTTGCGCCCTTTTTAAATGCTACAACCTCTTTTTGGCAAAACCATCAACAGTAACACCTGCATTCATTGCTGATGTACATTTAAATTCATGTCTAATAATTTAAGTCCACAATATGTGTTAATTATTATGTGCTTTACTGCACACCTTCTGATTCCTTCTCTCCCCTCTTTTCCTTCAGCTAATTTGTAGTACCAGCCCGTCTTAGTAAATTATTTAGTAGGTTTGCTAAGAAATTCTTAGTTGACGAACACTGATATGTTGATTTAAACAAACTCAAAATATTCTTGGAACTAATTAATTCTGCATTAGAAATTATTAGAAATGAATAGACTAAATAAATCTTGGTCGAGGATAGCATCACCGATTTGCAAGAATATATTGCATGCGCTTATAGCATTTGAGCCCATGTATAAAAGAAAGGGAAATATGTGATAGAGACTTAGGTTAGCAAACCGGTAATCCTGAGGTTCTGCAACCTTGCGTCATAATGTTCTCTGAGCTCCACCATTTGGCTGGGCTTTACCCCTTTCTGAACGAGGGAGGTAGAACATGCCAACACTGCAGCCGTAAGATAATCAGCGGAAACGAATGTGGGTGGAAATTCTGATGAAGCATGCACTTCCATCATAAAGGTGCATAAACGCAACCCATTACATGCACATCACCATGACTTTTTGATACAATCGCTCCATCTCTTTAGCACACACATACACTCAGACATGCCCACACAGAGAACCTGATGACGAGGTTTGGGTGAAAGGCAGAGAGATGGAAGGTTACAGAGGAAAGAGAAAGCTGTTTTCGAGAGCAGTTCATGCGTGGGTGTTTTATATGAAATGATTCTCCTCTTTCTCTTATTCCTTTTATTTATATGTCGGTAGAGGATTTGGCGCTGCTGTGGTTTTCCTACTAAATCCTTTAAATAAGTGGAAGAGATGTGTGTGTGTCTAGATTAAAGACAGGGATATCTTTTCTTTTACAATGTTTACACACTATTGCAAACCAGATACCTTTAAGAAAGGCCTAAAAAACGTTCTTTTTGAGTTTTTCTATAACATTTCATCTAATATGTTGCTTAACACTAGTAGCATGAGATGTTGGAAACCTTATGTTTCAAATCCCAGCTCTAACTTAATTATTGTGTCATTAATGGAACTTTCATTACATCCATTACTTGTGTAGACTCAAAATAATGACCTTCCTGAGAAATACTATTTGCTGTACTTTCTAAACATTGTAGAGCTAGCACACATGCATTTGATGTGCGTTGTCATCTTATTTATCATAACGCAATTTCTAACTCAAGCGATCTTGTCACCCAGGCTGTCCTCAGTCATCACACTGTGACCTATTGCATGAAATGCTCTCCGACGCTTGGGTGTGAAACCAGATAGGCGTGTTGGCTAAAAAAAGAATTGTCCACAACAGTTCTGATAAACACAACACGGCTTTGCTGGAATGCTTGGACTGACATTTGCATAAAGGAGGTCTACTCAACAAAGGGCATCATGCAAAACCAGGTGCAAAATACAAGCATGCACATATACTGCAACACAACCAAATACGAGACATGGCGGCGAGAGGACTGGAGAACGGTTGTTTTGTGTCCGTTTGGAAACAGATTCACACATAGTTCACTATATTTGAGGAACTGCTTTGTTATTGGGAAATGTTTCCACAACGAAAAGCAATAAGCCACATTTAAAACACTAATAGACTCAAGCAAAACAATCTTTTGGTTTCTAGAGAATAAACAGTCAACACGAACACAAATAAATACAACTATGAAGCAATCCTAACTTGTTACCAGTTCAAAATGTTTTCCAACCCTTAAAGAGTGCTTTATGTTTAATATAAGTCACCACATGGCAGATTACAGAAAATGAGCTGTCCCATTTGAAACACTGACAGTCCGATCAAAACCCCAGAGGGTGTGTAATGTTCAATATGTAACACAATTGAATTCTCTAATAGAAAGTAAATTGACCAGAGGTTAGATTAAGTATCCTCCTTAGTCATCTTGGATTGATCAATCAACAAAAGAAATGGGCCGGCTATGCAATGACAAGAACTTTTTCTAGAAAGGGAACAGAGCAGCTGCATTGGTCAGTTAGTATAAACAAGATTGCATGCCTGAAATCTCCACAGACTGGGGTGGAAGTGGTGTTCACACAACAGATAGAGAAGGTGACTGCACAGACTGGAGGCTGGGTATGGCCGGGCAGAGCCAGAGAAAAGGTCACCGGTAGTATTTGACAGTCTCATGTTGATCGCCACAAAGCTGTAGGGACCGTGAGTGGGGAGAGCAGCTTGGGCCCGACTCTAAATGGCTTTCTTACCGCCCAACCAACTATTGTGTATGCCTACATTGTATTATATAAGGTTACAAAAGGAGACATTGTATTTCGGAATTCAGGGGGAATGAGATGATTCATCCCTCTCGATGTCCTGAGGCTTTGTAAGTGACACTATGTCCACAAACATTACAGAAATTCACACGTTTCTTTTTTTTAAACTTACACAAAAAACACACCAACAACACCACCCCCCCCATTACAAATATTAAAGCACACTCCCAAGGGACAGCAGGATGACCCCCATCACTCACCTTCAGGTCCCGGTGCACCACGCCCATTTGATGGCAGTGAAGCACTGCCTCCAAGATCTGCTGGATGCAATGACTGCATGCAAACACCAAGGGAGGCGTATGTTAGTCTGAGCAGCGCTACAATCCCGTGCACAGGCCAAGGGTGGGGGAGGGTAGGTTGGGGGGGTTATGATGGAGGATTGGGTAAGGGTTACAACAGGATTTGAAAGGGCTCTCATGTTGCCAGCTGTGACACTCTCAGATTTGATTAGCTACAGCCAAACCACAGCTAAGAACACACCCAGGACTACAAAAGGCAATCAGGGTTCAATAGCTTCTAAAAAAGTGACATAGCTAACAACTGTGGCCCAAATATAAGGCTTACTTTAAAGTACATTTTATGTATCACCAATTTATGATGTGAATCCAATATAAAGCTTAAAAAAATGGGCCGTTATCTTGTTTGAGCTACTGTGTTTAGCATGGAGCCTATAGTGCAGCAGATGTCATTAATGGCTTTTACTTTTTTGGGGGTTCGCTGTAGACCTGGGTTTGACTTGGTTGGCCTGGAAGTGCATAGCTGTGTGTGAATTGCAACAGGACGTTCCTTTGAGTCAATCTATTCTGCAACTAACCAATGGTTTTGCACTATTATTTGTCTTTTATACTCTATTCTTCCTAGATGAGGATATCCAGGGACACACTCATCTCTGACAGATATTTCACTGGATTCTAGATGCCCCACCTCCCTGCATGTTGTAGTCTGCAGGCATTAGGTGATGACAGAGGGTGTGAGAAGGTGGGAAGGAGTGAGTCATTGTGCAATTAATAACATTTAAAAGATGTGTCTGGGATGAATGCCATGTCCACTGGCCTCTGCTGACAAGAGCTGTCATTCTGATGTCAGCTACCGGACACTAAAAATAAAAAGTTAAAAACTGAGAGTGATGCGGAGTAATGACGGAGTCTTTGCAGATATTTGAGCGGGGAACAAAAGCACCTGTGTGGCATTGTGTGTGGACAGAAGCTTGTGTGTTTCCTGTGCACTGACAAAGTTCAGAGTGAGGGTTGTGTTTCACAGTTTTGTATTTCCGAATATGAGTGCAGCTTAAGAGAAGCTTATGGATGATAGAAAAAAATACGCTCTCTTGATCTTTCCACCTACACTTTTAGAAAAGATGTGCAATGCCTATTTTTTGCAATAGTGTGGAAAATGAAGGATATCTTTAGAGGTAGAATTAGATGAGCCTTGTGGGGGAGGAGGTTATTACCAAGTCATTTCTCAATGACTTTCACAACTTAAACGTAAAATACAATATTGAGTTTTTACTCACTTCACGGATGATTCAGGCAATGAAGACGTGCCATAGTTAATACTTATACATAATTATTACTTTGATTACTGCTTTGAAAAATGATGCGCAGTCATTGATTAGCACCTTATCACAATAATACCCTTGCTGTTTGGCAGTGTCTTTAAATTCAAACACTAGGCTAAGCACTTATTTTTGAAGTTGTAAATTATTTTGTGTTTTTTACAGACAGAAATAGGTCTAAACATGGAAAACTGTCAGAATGCTGCTCCAGGCCGGGCATCGCCTGCGTGTGACTGACAGGCCATTACTATGCTTTGGATTATTTACGTTGTCTTTTTGATTTCGTCTGCATCCAATATAAAGCCCCTTCCATTCTGGCATCTGGACTAACAGCTATCTAAGGTTATCTCACAATCTAACCATAAAACGTGAAATAACAAGTAAACTAGATGCCTAACAATTAACTTGAGCAGTCTCAAAAGCTGACTTACAGTAATTGTTTTCAATTAAGGAAGAGTCTGGACTGTCAGTCTGCTAGATTTGATAACATAAGAGAAAGCAAAGAACATGGAGAGAAATAGAGAGAAAAGGAGAGAGAGAGAGAGAGAGAGAGAGAGAGAGAGAGAGAGAGAGAGAGAGAGAAATGTAGACTGGCATGGCTGTAAAGTTCAGGACTATAAATTAGAATCCTGTGTCTTGTTTCTAAAGGTCTCCCAATAAATAAATACTTGGCAGGTCACGTCTACAGTGTGTGTGTGTGTGTGTGTGTGTGTGTGTGTGTGTGTGTGTGTGTGTGTGTGTGTGTGTCAAGTTGCATGTGTGGGGCTAATGGGACTTCCATCTATGAAATGTGAGTGTGTGTTCTCTTGCACCCTCACTCACACATGTGCCTGTGTGTAGGTATGCATGCAGATCAGTGTGTGTGTGTGTGTGTGTGTGTGTGTGTGTGTGTGTGTGTGTGTGTGTGTGTGTGTGTGTGTGTGTGTGTCTATCCTTCCCCCACTTTGTCAGCTGTTGAGCTCTGTAACCAGCAGGGTGAAAATCCTGTGTGTGTGTGTGTGTGTGTGTGTGTGTGTGTGTGTGTTGCCGCAATCAATATTTAAAAGATAAATTCTGTTGTATTCCTGTTCACTCTATATAAAAAGTAGGCTTTATCCACACTGTGTATACATGTTTTTACTTTGTAAGTATGCAATCTGCTATAAAAAGTGTTTGTTTATGTTTCAGTTGTTGCACGTTAGCCTACTTTACAGTATTCTTCAAATAGAAACAGAATAATAAGGTCTACAGATCACAGCCACTATGGGACTTTTGATAAAGTTTTTAACATTGATGTTCTTGAAAAACTTGACAGATGACAAAAAATGCATCTATCATATTTCTTGAATTGTACATTTTTAGCAACTCATAGCTGTGTTATAGTTCTTAAAGTCTGTTTGTCTGAGGTTGTTCTATACTTGCAGAATTATTAGCAGCACACACGTGAAATGCTTTCAGTGACAAATCGTGAAATGACCTGATGTAGCGGTTGCAGATTTTGTGTGAGTACTAGTTATCTCTCGTATAATGCCTATATAAATACCTGCCAACTAAAAGTAAAGAATTACATAAATGCTGCAGAGATCATTCAAACGTTGGTTCTATTATATTCTGTAGTCGCTGATCATCTCATAGCAAGCAGAACATAGCTTTTACTTATGCTTTCTTTCGAGAGTCAGTCTGACAATACACTACTAGTTATATTTAATAAAATCAGATATCAAAATGTGTCCAAACTGCTACTGTAATTCTGTCTAAAGAATGGAGAAAAGTTAAAATCCTAGAAATCTATTCTTAGGTTTAATTCAGGGCCAAAGATAAAAGCTCAACAATAAATCAGAAAACACCTCTGGAGATGCTTATAAGACAATATTCCACAAAAAAGATTTGTTTTATAAGTAGCGCACTTTGTTTGTCTTCTCAAAAACAGCTCTATAAAGATGCTGTTGATGCTAATATTAGACTATTGAAAATATCCCTATTTTCAATACAATACATTAATAACTCTGAGCAAGAGAGTAGACAGGAGAACAAAAAAAAAGAAGAAATTAATAAAGACAACAATAAATATAACTGTTGCTTCTTTTAACTAGACTGGTGGGAGAAATTGATGGTTGTAAGGGCATGTGTTAAAACTGGATATGTATTACACCTGGGGGGGGGGGAGTGTGTGTGTGTGTGTGTGTGTGTGTGTGTGTGTGTGTGTGTGTACAAGGCTCATTGATTGATGATTGATTGATTAATTGATCTAGTTGTCAGTGCAACAGGAGTTTGTTATAATGTAGTGAAAATGATGGGCGGGAGGGCAAATGGAGCAGGGAGGACGGGTGGACCAGGCCAGGATCCTTCAATTAAAAAATAACATATCATACAATAAAACAGCAAAAAAGGAAACACAAGAGCATAACAAGAGACAAGTCGGACAGGCGGACATTAGACATGGCACGAAGAAACGAGACGGAGGAGGGAGGGAGGGAAGGAGGAAGTAATTAAGGAGGAAAGGAAGGACCGGGACGGAGGAGGGAAAGAAGTCGGGATGCAGATGCTCCTCTACATATACTAACCTTCAGGTCCCTGTGCACTATGTCATGTTGGTGAATGTGATGGACACTGTCTAGAATCTGATGGATACAGTGACTGTGAAGACAAAACAGAGGGGAGGAGGGGTGGAGGGGGGGATGAAGGTGGAGAAATAGGATGCCAGGTGAACAGAGTGACGGCCAATGCAAGGTGAATGAGACAAAGATAAAGAACAGAGGTTGGCAGGTTGGATTAGTGGAGAAGGGACATTTGTCAGAATAAATGAGAAGGAGAAGAAGAGGGAGGACGATTGATGCAGATAGAGATGTTGGAAGGGAGGGGGGTATATGCGGGTGGAGGAGACAAAAACATTTGGTTTTGCTTTTTAGACAGGATGAGAAACAAGAGCAGCCACAGCAGAAACATCTGCCAGACAAAAATCACACCGACACTGACAAAGAAGAGGAGAGGAGTAAGAGGAGAGCACAAAAACCAAAAGAAAAAAGGTGAGAGGGAAGATAGGATGTGTTTGAAGAGCAGAGAGAGATCATCATTTATGAAATAAATAGAACGCGTATAGGATGACACTGAATCATAATCGACTAGTGGGCTGATGCCAGGCTATTTTTCCATCACTGAAAGGAAAGCACATCACCCTGTACATAGCGAGAGATACATCTACCTCTATTGTGAGTGTGTGAACATTTAGGCTTGGTGCAATGAGAGATTGTAATGTTCACAATATGTGACTAATAGCAAAGAGACGGGAAGCCTGGAGGATCCACGCCCACACAGTGTCTAGTTAGTGGGTGGACTGAGAGAGAGAATGAGAGGTATACTGTGTATGTGCATGCTTGCTCAGTACACAAATGTAGGGGAAAATATGAAATGTAACCAAAGGTATATGCGAATTATAGGCCTTAAACCTGTGAGGAAGCATTGACTGTATTATTTTTTATCTTAAACCCTAATCTTTATATAAAATCCCTCTGGGGGGGAACTTTGAGCTTTTAGCCCTTACAGACCTTTACATGCACAAAAACCTATATAACACACACACACACACACACGATGCTAGGTTATATTTTTAGGACCTACAACTTCATATTGCAGTCCAAACGAAGACGAAAGAAAAGTAAGAAACCTTTAAAGTGGGAGCTCAATGCTCAGAAGTATTATGCGCTATTGCGGTGCAATTAGTGTAAGGGCGCCACAGTTTATCTGCTGCTGCGAGGTTTCCGGCGCACACTAACATCCACATACCTGGAGACACTTTTCTACATCATTTATTCACTGTGACATGCCCTTGCATGCACAGACACATGGCTTGACCTGACAGTGACCCATTGTGTTTGGCATTCAAAAGTAGAAGAGCATCTCCACCCACTTTATCTGCTTGTGTGTGTGCCTTCAATATCCCACTGTCCAAAAAGATGATGTCATTCCAAAGGACTCTGGGTCTGTTTATGAACTCTTTGTAGGTTAGAGGGGAACAGTGACTACCTAGCCAGTCTACCTTCAGGCCACTTTCACTCCCTGTATGAGTATCCTTTAAATCAGTGGTCCTCAACTGGTGGGTCGCGACCGACCCGTTTCGAGTGGGTCGCGGATGTGTGAGTGAATTGGACAAAATCTGGGGAAAAAGTCAAACTTTTATTTTGAAGGCCCGATTTTCTAACGCTGTGCATGCAGGCGTTCTCAGAGTGTACCAGAATGCATAGTTTATGTTAGTATTTCTAAAAAATCTCCTGGGGGAGAATCCCCCCGGACCCCCTTGGGTTGGGTTTTCAGCATGTGTGCCTTTTTATATAGTTCAGCTTTGATTCCATTATCTCATTAAACCTTTTTTAAAAGCATACCGAAGGAATATAAGGGATATATGCACTGTACTTCACTTTTATTAATATTGTGCTGAAAAGCGTATATATTACAGCAGGTTTTTTTGTTGAATAGATTTGAGTGCTTCAAAATGTTGGGTCGCGATGTATTGACCAAGTAAAAAGTGGGTCCCGAGGCCTGACCAGTTGAGAACCACTGCTTTAAATAGTAAAATACTCACTTTAATGAAATAAATCATGTCCAAGCTTGTGTTTAATACAAAAATAATCGCAATGCAGATCGAGCAAGATAAGAGAGGTTTTCATTGAAAATATGATAGGAGGAAAATGTAAGTATGTACAGACAACGAGAACATCTTTTAAAATACTCCCATTGAAACAAACAAATCAGATCCATGGCAGCATCTAGTGTAACTAACTTTATGTTTTAGTCTGTTTGTTCCCTAGAGAGGGAAAAGTCCTTGATTCAGCTGCAGGTATAATTCCGTTCTACTCAAAATGGCCCTCATCCAATCAAACACTTCTGAGGAGAAACTCTGACAGGGGGCAACAAGGTGTGATGCTGCACAGTTTTGTGCTGTGTGTGTGTGACACTAATTTTACTGTCGCTAATTAAAGTCCCAGTTCTTGCTCGTTTCCAAGGGAGTGAGGTAGGGAGATAGGGGAAGGATTGGCCTTGATGACTGACATGCAGTGTGTGTGTGTGTGTGTGTGTGTGTGTGTGTGTGTGTGTGTGTGTGTGTGTGTGTGTGTGTGTGTGTGTGTGTGTGTGTGTGTGTGTGTGTGTGTGTGTGTGCTTGCAGGTTATAGTGTGGCTGGGAATGATAGCGATCACTATGGGGTTTAGATGAGTTATTAGTGCTGTAGCATGCCGTATGATATGGCAGCTTACACACACTCACATACATGTACAGAGACAAGTACTAAAACTCTGCTCTCCAAAATAAAATCACAATGTGGCTACAAAAAAGTGAAACTTCTCTACACTCTAAATAAAACCCATGAATACTCGATCAAGCATGCGTGTCTGAAACCAAAGGCATCAGAGGCTCTTGGCATCAGGATAAAAGACACTTTTTCTGCAAGCTGTTCAGGACTACGAAATACTCAGTTTGGAAACAAACAACTACCCTCCAAAATCCCTGATAATCAGCTAATGGAAATCCTTTAACTTAAAAGGTGACGTCAACAATTATGGAGACAGATTGTTGATTATTAAACTCAATACCCAAACAAATACCCCACATCAAACTCCAACTGTTTTTCTTTTTATACCGCCATGACCCTTGCCTTGTGTGGCTGCCTGGGTGTTTGTTTCTTGGCGATTATATCATTCTATATTGCTGATTTGATGGTGTGCCCCGGGTAACACGCTGAATTAAGGGAAAGCTTGCCACTCTCAGAATAAAAAATGATGTCATTGAACATTTTAGCTACAAAGGGAAAGCTTCTGAAGAGGCAATGTGCCTCTGAATAGGACAGAGGTACAGAAAAAGATAGATACTATTAATCAAAACTTTTGCAATCGATTTACAGTAAGCTGACAAAAGAAGAGCATGAGCGGTACCACTAATTTGTATAATAGTAATAATATAACAAACAAGACTACGAAACCACTGTTGTGCAATAACACTTATGTGCAATTTGATAAATAATCTACTTCGAATGTACAGCTGAATAAATAATCCATTTATTTTCATTTTATATTTTTTCTAATAGTGTTTTATTTGTGTTTGTCTCCATCTTAACTTTTGCTGTAACAATGTACATTTCCCCTGGAATTCTGATTGTATTTAATGGAACAGAATAATTAGACAAATATAGTTTTGCACTAAACTGTGCTCCACAGCTCAAATTTACAACCCTGGCTTGGGATCACTTTCTACCCAAGAATATAAAAGTCTGGACAAAACCAGAAAATAATCATATTCAAATGCTGATATGTAAGGCTTCACTCAAAGCATTTTAGACATTTTAAATACAAACTGGTTAAAAAGGCCAGTTATAGACACCACTTTGCTTAAATTACCAAAGTTCCCTCATTGTGAAGTTAAAAGTCAAACTGCTTTGGATTAGAGACAAGAGTTAAAGACCATTTACTGTGCCGTCGACCTCAGCACTACCAGACTATTCAGTGTCTTTGTTATGTTGCTGAATGGACTCACACCCACACTGTCAAGTATCTCTCTCACTCTTCTCTCAGTCTATTGTCTGTACATCCACCCCCCCACACTACTCGATTTCCTCTTGGTTGAAGTGAACTGTGTGTGTCGATAAGACCAAAGTGGTGGGAGTGATGTTAGAAGCATGTGTGGTGGTGGAGGGTTAAAGAGAAAGGAAAGAAAAGAGCTGAATGAACATTAGTTAGTTTAGCCGCTATAGGCTTGGACTGTTGGGGGGGGGGGCACCTTACTCCGTCTTTCTGGCTGTTTGTACCTGTGTACTCTCATGTTCCGATTAACCCAGCTTCCCCCAAATCTCTTTTTTGTGTCCATATATACGCCGGGATCCTGAGTCGAGGCTAATCCTGTTGCTGTGGTCGTGTGTCCNTTTGACTTTGTGAATTAACTTAATTAAGAATTAACGTTTTGTATTGCAGTAAAAGCCACTGTCAGGGTTCATACACTTTTTCACCAATGATTTTCAATTACTTCTAATTGAAAATCATTGGTGAAAAAGTGTATGAACCCTGACAGTGGCTTTTACTGCAATACAAAACGTTAATTCTTAATTAAGTTAATTCACAAAGTCAAATGAAAGTCATCTCTTAACTGTAGGTTAAATGTGTGGCAGATGAGACATTATTGTTGCTTTACTCCTCTGTTTTTCCACTTTTAACTGGTTTGTTTGCGCTCTGTTTGTCATTGCAGCAGCTAAGACCTTGCTCAACAAAAAGGTAGAAGTCAAGGTAAGGTCATCACGTCTTCCGCCGACTTTCTCAAACCTCTTTCCACTACCCACCTTTCCTTCTTCTTCTTCTTCTTCTTCTTCTTCTTCTTCTTCTTCTTCTTCTTCTTCTTCTTCTTCTTCTCCTCCTCCTCGGATGTATTCTTTCTGCTCCACTATTTGCTTCTTTCCTAATTTGGCTAATCTCAATTTCTCCTATAGCTTTCTTGTCTTTGTTGTTAAACGTGTTTGTTTCTCATTATTTTGTGTCCATCATAATGTACGTTGAGATCGTGGTTTTGTGTTTAGATGATCTTACAGATTCACCATTTGTGACTTGTGAAAGGATACCTGTTTGCTATGTCTACATATCTGTAGACGAGTGTCTTTGTATGTGCCCGTCTGCGTGTTGTCTGCCATAACACATGCCTCAAGTAGCAATTCCTTCAGAGAGCACACTTTATTTACATTTTCAAATTATCCAGCTCATGCCCCTCTCTCCATATCCATTATTAAATGTAACATCTGTCATCTCCATTACTTTTTTCATCCCTTCCTCTCACCCCGCCATTTGAGTCTCTTCCTCCAGTTTCAGTGCTTCCTATTCCTGCTCACCCCATCTGGTCTTTAACCCTGTATTCCAGTTCATCCTTTTAATAAAGATCTCTCACCATCCCACGCTCGCACATACACACACTGCAGTAACACATCCCACACAGAGCTTCCATGAATGTGTTCAGCGTGTATGCATGATAGTGTGCGACCAAGCTTGGAACATGGTGTACATGCAAGAGAATGTGTTTGCTTCTCAGCATTGTACGTTATGTTAGGAAGAGACTTTGGAATAGACTTTGTGAGTGTTTCACATGTGTTTGAAAAGAGAACGAAAGCGCAAATGAATGTCTCTGTGTGTGTGTGTGTGTGTGTGTGTGTGTGTGTGTGTGTGTGTGTGTGTGTGTGTGTGTGTGTGTGTGTGTGTGTGTGTGTGTGTGTGTACGCATGCACGCACACACATGGCCCCCCTCCTCTTTCTCCCTGCTCAGTCGGTTCAGCAGGGAATGTGACTCCGGTTCCAGGAATAGCTGCCAGTCTGGACCCTGGAAACTCAGACGACAGAAATAGACACTCACTTCCACTGCAGCCCTCTCATTGCCTAGCAACAGGCACACTCGCCCCAAACCTTTTCTAAAGACGTCTTCTTCGTTTGCTGCCGTCCCTGCTTGCCTCCGTCCCTCCCTCTTCTCTTGTTTCTTCTCTCCACATGTCCTTTTGGCGAATCTGACCTCCTCTCCTCCTCCTCGGCCTCTCCTCCTCCTCCTCCTCGTCCCGCAGGTTCATTAATGCGTAATGGCACCTGATGTTTGCTTCAGCTGTAACACCTGCTCAGAGCAGGCTGGCAGTTTCTCTTTGGCACAAAGTAAGCATCAACATCAGCCTCACGAACTGCCAGCAGCTGCTCATAAACGCCACTTCAGTCAGCATTTCATTCTTCTTTTTAAAAGATATTACATGTAGCATTCCTATACATTGTTACAAAATATAAACTGGTTACAAAACAACACATCCTTAATTCGGGAGATTGTAAAATACAACAAGGGGGCATATTAGGTTTCCGGTGCTCTTGTTCATTTAAAGTGATTGCACTTATGACCCTAAATAATCGTTCTAATCATTTATTGATGTATAAATGCTACATGTAACAACTCTACAAGTAATGAGCCTGTCGTGGTCATTTTGCATTTCCTTGCTGACCTTTCACGCCTCCGTCTGGCCCCGAGCTTCTCTTATTCTGTCAACAAAAAACCACCACTTGCTTACCACCCTTTTGTCATCTTACAGAGGTCTTAAACCCCACCTCCTGCTTTGTGCGCTTTCCTCTCCCTACTTTCCCAATATAACTTGAGCGGGAACTTTTCCATCTTCTTCTTTCTCCAAACTTTCTGACAAAGTCTGATCTTAGCAAAGGAAATCAAGTTTTGATGTACACTTGCAAGTCCTGTCTTGTACTTTGATCTAGCCCATTCACTTTTATTGTCATTGGTTACTTTATCTTTTTCCCCCCTTCTACTATCCAACCATCCATCAATAACTCCATCCATCCATCAATCGCCTGGGGACAGAAACGCAAGTCCAGCTCTACCGTCCAGTACATGGTGAGCATGCTAGTTATGCATTTTAATAATCACTCCTTTGTTTGCTTCTACTCTTTATCTTTTATGTCTTTTATCCAACTTTCCCGTGCTTTTACTCTATTTCATCGGTGGAGTCAAGTATCCTACACTCCTCTTGAGTATTCATTTGTGGGACAGTGGTGGCCAATTCATCACGGGTCTCACAGATGCTAAGCAGAAGTCACATAGACCCTTGCAAAGTGGGCTCAATCATGCCTAACCCTAACAATATTCAAAAGAAAACATGACAGGATGTTTTACTTCCATCAGAGTTACTCCAGAGATGCTGCTCCAGATCTGTCAAGGGCATACTTTAAGGACAGAGGCTGCCCTGTGTTTGGATACCTAACTTTTTGGTCTAAAAAAACACTGCACTTTCTTACATGTTAACAGAAGTGAAAACTAATTGCGTATCAACCCTGTGTTTTGTATGCACTCCAAAATGTGATGGCTTCTTCCTTGGGCCGCCCTTCCACCAAGTTTCTTTATAATCCTTCTGACAAACCAAACTGAAAACGGATGAAATGTTTTTCTACAGGCCCATCCTCTCTTCTCGCTCCTCTTCCTCCTGTGTTTTCCCTCTGCACTGCTTTCCTTGCTTACCTGGAGAACCACCTGTGAATACTTTGACCCACTTTCTCCTTCTTTGTTTGAACTCATTCAATTGTGAAACTCTGTGATCTCTACCAATATGCAAGCTTGATTATATCCCCTCCAGCACGTTATTCAGAAAAGTGAAGGGTTTTCCTCACCAAATCCTAAGACCCCGAGATTCTGCAAACAAGCTTTGAGTAAAACGTCTCATCTGCTAATCATTTACTTTGATGAGCAAAACATTTCCTTTTGCTCCACAGCGGCAGCGGTGTGACTGATGAGGGCACAAATGTGTGTGTGACTGTGGGTTTCACTGGTATGTGTGTGTGATTTCAGTCTTTATCTATGTATCACCTTAGTGTCAGCTTACACCAGCTTTTATTTTCAAGGCTGTTATTTCTGTATTCATTGTGGTGTTTTTTAGCACTTTTTTGTGGTGATCTATAAGCCTTCATCTTCTACTCTACTCCTCTTCTCTCTTGAATAGAATCCATATTATGGATACACCCATGTACAGTACACACACACACATTCTTAAGTCACCTTAGTTGACCTATTTTCCTTTATGTAAATCAATGTTTCAAATGGTTGCCAATTCTGTATCCTAAAATCAATGATCTTGTGCTTCTTTCTTAAAGCATTATTTTTTTTATCTGTAGAACAGCCTGTGAAATGAAAGGCTTTTGCTAGTGTGATTAGCATTATACCTAGGTGGAATTTTCTTCCATCTTGGCAGATTTCTTCCCACTTTCTTTTGACATTCACACCACACTAAGGCTTAATGCGGCATAAAGTAATCCATGACTTCTCTTGACCTCTATCACAGACTGGTAGGTGGCTTAGATGTAAGTGTTACATGATTAATATTTATGTAACGGTAGCTGAGTTCTTAGAATGAGTAACTTTGGTGATTCACTTCCACACCCACGCCCCATTTAACAACTTCAAGTTAATGTTTGTTTTCAAATAATTCAATGTTAATTTAATGCAAATATCATTACGGTCCAAATAAGCTATAAAGGACTGACCGCTCTTTGATGTTTGGCCTTCAAAGGAGAATTTGATGTGGGCTTATAATTTTAAAAAGTGATTTATTACGGCCAAATGGCACGGTTGCAATCTGAAATATTAAGCAGCGTGACAACATCATGATGTCACTAAGTGTCACCGGCCCCCGCTCATGTTACCTCTCAGAATTACAGATCCGTCTTGTGAATGAATGTTTAAGATATCATCACTGCTGCTGCTGCCTGCCATCTACTGGACTCCACACTCAGACACTCACCTATTTGTATCTAACTATGTTTGTGGGGACATACAGTTATCGCATTGTTAATTATTTTTCTGTCTCTTATTTAAAAATGTTTTTCCATTATGGACGTAATTCAAAGTAAAGCGTAATCTTAATCCCTTAAAACCAAACATAGACTTTAAATCTCAAATATATTTTTGTTCACCCAAATCATTAACTCCTTACTTATTTTGTTATTTAGCCATATTGTTTATTTTATTTTATTATAGGATTTACATTTATTTTATACAATAAAGTAGAAAATAAGGAAAACTCTAACCTGGACTGTTACTAAATGTCGAGCATCTATTTTTTATGTAGTTTTTTAGGACACCATTAACCTCCGTGTTAACATCTTCTCAAATAATTTTAATTGGAAATGTGTGAAAAAAGGACGTCACTAACAACTAGGTGAAACATTTAAAATACGTTTTCACAGAAATATGAGTGCATAAAGACATGGGTATGCACATAAACACATGCCTGGACTCCCAAACCCACCTTTTTGCTGATGTTTTCAATCTTGTTGTGTCTCCTTCCTTTCCTCTCCTCTCCTGCACAGCCCCAGACAAACAGCACCAAAAACAGCATAGTCACCAGCCCCAAAGGAAACACCCATTCACCTGCTCTGGTATTTACCTCCTAACCCCACCCCCCTTAATCCTAATTCACCCTTCACCCTCACCTTTGTGTGTTTGTCCGTATATCCTATAAGACCCCTACCTTCCCTCTCCCGTACTCCTGTAGCTTTGTCTGTTTTTCCTCTCTGTTCGTCTAGTCATTTGTGCTTAATCCTTGCCCAGCGGCTGTGAGAGCCACAGGGGTCGAGTAGGTTTTCCAAGAAAGGGACAGACAGCCAATGCCTGCTGGGACTGTCAGTGAAATTGACCCCCCCCCTCCTTCTTATGTATGCCTCTGTTCAGAAGCGGTTCCCCACCGTGTGAGCATCACAGTCCAAGGGTCTTCAGATTATCCTTCCAGCCAAATAGCACTTCAGCTGATTTCAGAGATTATTTCCTGCTCTTGGGCTACACACATGGTCAACAATGACTTTTATTAAGGGAAAAATATACAACGTGAAGTAAAGTCCAGAACCGTGGGCACCATTTTTACTAAGCATCATGTGTCTGGGTGAGATTTCAAAGTTATTTGTGTTTCTCCTCTTGATCTATGTGGAGCTTCTGCTATATTCATATTTCCGTGGGTGAGTTGTGGACCTTGGACCTGCTTCAGGATTAATATTTCCAATGAACATGGGAAAATTCTGTTTACAGACTCTAAAATAGCAAATATGCAAACAAAATATTTAAATTAAAAAACATTTAGATGGACATTTTAATGGATGTTGGTAGAATAATCAATAATGAAAATAAATGATAAATGAAATCCTTAAAGTATCCTAAATACTTTGATGTCAGTTTTCTTTTGTTTTCTGATATCTTTGTAGTTCTTTTCAAAACCGAAATAAATAGTATAAGGATGCACAATAAAGGTGAGGCATTCATTATAATTTGTGTTGCATAGACAACATCTGTGAACGTCTTTAAAGTATATAACGAATGGTCCTGGTTAATGTAGGATTTGCAATGATAGATTTCATGCAATTAAATAATTGTGTTTCAGGAGTGCACTACATTTGCAAATGCCTCTTACTTTGTGTGCAACTGCAATTTATTTAACCATAATAGCTGCATTTTATAATGCAATTTTTACTTCAAGTCAATCAGCCATGCCAAATGAAGAGACCTAGATGGCTCACAAAGGATTTCACCAAACTACGCATCTAGCACAGTTGAGGAATTTGGGTTTGCTCTTTGGAACTCCTGCAAACTAAATATATTTGCCATACACTGCAAAGCTCGATTTTAGCACGTTGTGATAATAAAACACAGATTATAGTCTATTGGTCAGCAGGTCTCTTGGTGGTGTCAATGAGCGGTGACCCTGGTAGATATTACCTGTCCATGGTGTGCATCACTAGCTTGGCCTCAGCTTGACACTGTTTAAAACTAGGCATCTGCTTTCAGCACTTTGATTGGAGAAGGCAAGATAACAGTTGTCCTTTTGTGGATGGAAGTCTGTTTTTCTGTGTGCGCATGCATCTTATCTGTACAAATACAGACATACTACAAGAAGCGCTTGATAGGAAGATGACTGACTTCAGAGTGAGAAACACAACCATTTGAAGAGGCTTTTTTTTTCTGATCTTTGAGGGGAACAGAGAGTGGGAGTGCGTCTGTGATCTTCACTCTGTTGCTAGGGGCTTGAACTAGCTACTGTTTAGCCATTTGGTACATTAACTCCTTTATTGCAGAGCTGCAAGGTCAGAGAGACCCTTAGAATTAGATGACCTTAATTTTCTGATCTTGGAGCAGATAAGGGGTGATGGGAATCTTAATGTGCGGCTTGGCTGTATATACATAACATAATTTGACTTAATTGCGACACTAGAACATCCCTGAAAGAACAGTAGAGTTAAAGACAGCAGTGATGTGTTGCGGTCAACCCCCTGTGATGTTGTGACACCATTACCCATTTCCCCCTCATTCTAATCTGTAAAGCCAAGGTACTTTGTTCTCACTCATCATCATCACCATCTCCCAAATTGCCTCCGGTGCATGTTGCCCTAGGTGACGGTTGCCCTGACAACACTGCCATCATCACAAGGGAGAAAGCTGATGATTGGTCATCACCGAGGTGTCACTTCCTGTGAAGAACATGATGGGGGTGGCGGCAGGGTGTTCTGATTTACGTACATCAGATGGCACTTTCTAGCAGAGTGTTAAGAGCTGCAGAAAAGGGAAAAAATATATATGTCTCCCTTTTATGAATGATCCGCAATCAGGGCCTGCTGCATCAGGGGACAAAAAGGCAACACTGACGGAAATGTTTTTGTGTGAAAAGAGCCACCAACTGGCTAAAAACGTGACAGAGATGCTGAAGATACATTAGATTGCAGAATCTGCAATATAAGATGAAAGAAGGAACTTAATGTGATATAAGTGAAAGAAGATCAACTGGGATTGTGAAAAGGCAAAACAACAAGGAGATATGGCTAGTCTTGAGGATTTACGGAGCCAATTATGTGCACAAAAAATTGTGATTTAAAATAAAAACCCATACATTTCAGTCAGAACATCTTTTAGAAGGGGAGCCAAAATGATCAGAAAGACCTGTTTTCATCTTGTCCGGCAAAATCTTTTCGCTGGGTTTAGCAGTGTCTAATAAGATGTTGAGCATAGTGTTTATCTACATCAGAGCTCATTGAAATTGTGTGCGTTACCTTCATTTTAATGAACAATCCTCTTGATCCTGCTTACATTTGCATATTTGTAGGTTGAATGAAAAAATAATTGGTGGCTTGATTGCAACTGTCCCTTTCCGGAGGCTGTGTAGTGTCAATTTGTGTGAGAGAAAATTGTGCAAAGTGCTCATGGCAGTGACTTCACCCTGGGTTTCAATACCGTCTCTCACTCCAAATTACAGTTATTCAGTTCATCCATCCACTCCATGTCTTTGAAGGATTATTCTTTGTCAACCTTAACAAGCACTTTCTCTTCATGCAACATTCACATCACTGTCTTTTTCTTACACTTAACCCATCTCTATCTACTTTGATGTCAATCTTCTCTCTTTCTTTCCATCCCTCTCTCTGCCCCTTTCTTTGCTTTCTCTCTTTTGTTCCATGGTCCTCCTCCTCTACCTCCAGGAACCTCAGACAACCGTCATCCATAATCCAGTGGACGGGATGAAGGTACACATATATCATTCCCCACCCCAGACGTTCTTTTTATCCTCTGTCATTCTCCTCCTCTTGCTCATCTACTCCTGCCCCTTGATCCGTCTCGTCGCCATGCATCTGTGTGACCTCACAACAGCATTGGTTTACTAATGAGTGTGAATAACGTACATTTGTGTTGCTTGAGATAACACTCCTGGTGATCGGAATATTGCATTTTGCTTACCTTGCTAACCACAACAGTAGTTCTGAGAACGTTACGTTAAAAATATAGCATTGTCATCCAGACACATGGGCCACATTGTCTTGCCTTAATTCTCATTAAGCAGCACTTTGTAGCTTAATGTAGACAGGGGCTGACAGGTGCAACCGCAACGGCCCAAAACATTTCCATTTGGAGAAACGCGCTGCACTTTCAAAAGCATTTCAACACAATTGTGTGAAAACACATTCAAGTGAAGAAACATCTTCACCAACTTGAACGGAAACTTACCTAAAGTGTACGTTTTTTTTAAGCTTTCTTTTATCGCAGATCTTCTGGAAGGTAGCCAACCTAGTCATTTTAAATATACTGACAAAACACTTACAAATATGAAATAGAGTAACTCCGCCCAGTGACAGTTGGCAAACTTTATAATCCCCCAATGTCACCAAGCGCTCTGGTCCCAGCTGTGTGCATCACTTTTTAGTGTCCCCGTTTTCGTTGTGTTTTGAGCATCTTTCTTGGAGCGATTTTTATCTGCAGCGTTTTGTGTTTTTAATATCTGCATCGTTTCTAAAGCTGCAGCGCGTTTCTCCAACTGAAAGGGTTTTGGCCTGTTTGAGCACGTTTTACCGTAATAATATTTCCCTAGATCATAGAATATAGGTTGTTGAGAGTACTTTATATTAGATTTTGCGTTGGATCTCAAAGGGAAATGCATTGCTTTAAATGAATTACAACAGCCGGTATCAGAAGAAGATGAGGATTTATTAGTGACCTTTTTGATCTTAGCATTGCAAAAAACAGGTGAGGTCTAAAGTCTAAGTTGAATTGGTCAAAAGCCTGAATATATTGGCTGAAAAATATTACAAGGCATTATAATAAGTGAGGCTCAATTACAGCTATGTGCCCAAAAAGTGTCATACTAATGCAGGTAACAAGATGCTCTTTAGAAGGCTATGAAACCACTTTTGTGCTTTGTGTTTGTGATGCTGTTTGTGCCCGTGTGTAATTCTATTGAGGTCAGAGAGTCTCTAAACTCTCCTCTACGTGCAGGGGAATGTAGGCCCATTTATTCTGCTAAATGGAAATCAGAAGATAACTTATTCCCGGCTAAAGCCTTATTAGAGAAAGACAGCAAGGCTGAAGGAAAAGGTAGATAAACCTATGCTTAATGAAAAAGTTCCTATTTAAATCATAAACCTGAACAGTGTCACGCTTGCAATGTCGCTGCAAGTCCAAAGTGTATTAAATAGTACGGTTTTAGTCAAAATGCATTTGTTAGGGAAGCAGTGAGCATCTGACTGGATAAATGAGACTTGATTACACTGCAAGACTTATATTAGGTTTGTAAACGGATGTTTTGATATCGTTTTCTCTATCGTTGAACTTCCATTTGTCAAGACCTTTCTCCGTTTCTTACCCTTCCTTCACCATAGAGGCATGGCATTGATGGGAACTTGTGGTAATTGACATACATATGGTCATATTGTTGGTGAAGTATTTCTCAAAGATGTCAGCTAATTTCCCGCTGAGAGTCCCTTCTGCCTGCTTCCATTGTTGCTTTAGAAAAAGGGATGGAGCACATGCTATTGAGTTTCTGTCAGTTTCAGCAAGAGACGAGAGCACCCTGTGGAGGAGAGACGTCTACACTGTTTGAAGCACACACACTGAGAATGAAGCACAGGGAGCTCTGCCTGGAGTAGCATAGAGAAAAGAGGTCGACAGTCGAATATGGAATGACATTTGACACCGTGGCGTATTGAGCCACTAGGCTGATGGGTGTGCTGGCATGGTTTGACTTTATGCTTGCAAAGGTTGTCTGGTTGTAGCTTTGAACAAAGATGTGACTTTGTTTGGCATCTGTTGTATGAATTGAATCAAGCTTAATTTGTTTTAATATATCTGTTGCTCGGTTACCAATTTCGTTTTTTTGAAGGCTTGACGTTAAGTATGCCCTAACTGGCCCGTGTTCCTGTAAACAAGACTTCTTAGCTCTCTTGTGATGTGTTGCTTTATGTGTATTCAGCACTGATGTTTACACCATTATGTTTCAACCCAAACTGACTGTCTATCTCTGATCTGCAGGGATCATCAGACAGCAGCAACACCACTGTGGAGGATGAAGATGTGAAAGGTAAGACTGCAGAGATACAAGGGATAATGACACGGAAACAGGCAGAAAGACATTTTTGTTGAACATCCGAATACTTCTGAGGACTTGTCATGTGGAACACAAGCGTGCTTAATAACGCCTTTGTGTTTTTCAGTTTCACCTAAAAATATATGTTTTGCGCTCATAAATCAAAAGAAAGTAGTAAATAATCCTGATGTCTTGAATGGATTGTGTAAAAGTGACTTCAGACAACCGGCCGATAGCTGACCTCTTATGGAGTCTGTGTGTATTGCTTATTTCTCTTTTGGTTTTTCAAAAAGAGTGTGTGTGTGTGTGTGTGTGTGTGTGTGTGTGTGTGTGTGTGTGTGTGTGTGTGTGTGTGTGTGTGTGTGTGTGTGTGTGTGGCTTCTAGTTGGAATTATGCCTCACACATATCAGCAAATAACTTCACCAAGTGAGTTTGTCTCCAGCATTTTTGGTCCACTGAATTTATGTTTTGGACGATTATGTGTGTCTCTTCTTATCTACGCGCCAACACACTCAAACACCCCTGTTCTCCAGAGTAAAATGCTTCTTAATCAGGTCATGAATTTATCATTTTGGTTGCAGGCATACAGAACAAAATGTGCTCTTCCTCCTCCTCTTCTTTCTCCTCCTCCCTGTGGAGGCTTTGCTGCCATGTCACAAATTCCATTGTAACTATAGCAGAGCAATCATGTTCCTCTAAGAGAAAATAACCAGTACTGAGTACATCAAGTAGAACTACTTTAGTTACTCCTTTTAAATGTGCTCAGAGTCAAAGTAACTAAGGATCCTTTCCAACAAAAATTTCTATAAGACTATATATTATTAATTTGTATAGAAATTGTAAAAAAATGCATAGTAAAGATGAATTGTTTTGTTTTCAGAGTTAACAGTTGATTGCAATGATCATGCTTGATTACAAAAAGTGATAGTACATAATAATTTATGTATTGGGAGAAACACATTTTCATAACCTTCACCCTTTGGCCTCAGGTGTTAGTAATTAGTATAATGAATGGCCAAGCAAGACAATTATGGATAAGAAGTGGTGTCAGTCAGTGTGAAACATTCCTTAAATGTTCCAGGAAAAAGAGAACAGCACGATCAGCTAGACTGGCTTTAAGGTTTTAAACAAAGCCTCGTCTTAAGCACAAGTCTCTTGGGATCTAACAAATGAAACTGTTAAAATTGTATTCTTACTTGGAACGTTGTCCATTTTGTTCTTTTTATGTTTTATTTCAATAAATATTACAATCAGAATCAGAATACCTTTATTAGTCCCACAGAGGGGACATTTGCATCGTTACAGCAGGAAAGAGCCACAGACAGCTTAATGTTACCTATTTTAAGAAAAATTACTAAGTTATGATATAATAAAAAATGTAATAAAAAAAATACTTTTCGAAATACAAATCCTGTAACAGTTCTTAGGATTTAGCAGCCAGGTATATATTACACAGTTATTAGTGGCATATGTATATAATGTATATATTGCACATATAGCACATATTGCACATAGTTTGATGGTATTTAACTGCAGCAAGTTACACAATTTACAAGATACAAAATGAGAAAAAACACACCTTTTAACGGTTCTAAGGATTTAGCAGCCAGGTATAAATTACACAGTTATTAACGCATGTACAGTATTGCACATATTGCACATAGTTGATTGGTATTTAGCAGCAAGGGGTGATATAGTCTGTGTTGTGGTGTGTGTAGGGGAGAGGGGGGGTCTACTAGGGGCTGTGCTGGTTGTAAAGTCTGACCGGTGATAAGAGCAATGTAGGTAGCCCACAGTAGCATTGGGTCAACTGAAAATCCTTTTATTCCCTCAGGCTCTACTGTACTTTCCCTTTGCACACTGTGAAAAGTGTGCTCCCCCTACCATACTTACTTCCGATCCAAGGTCTCAAATTGGAGCCCCACCGCCCTGTCCCTCTGACAGGGGAGGGCAAGGGCACCTTGGGAGGTGGGTCAGGGCTAAAGGGGGGAGGTGTCTAAAAGTAGCCCTGGTGGCAGGAAAGGGAGAGTGCGGCTTAAAAACACACCGCTCTGCTTGCGCCACCCTTGGATAGCATTAGTCTCACACAGCAGTTTTTAAACTCTTAAGAGACGAGGCCGCAGATAGCACGGTTAGCGCCAGAGAAAACTACAAGAGACAGGTGAGTGTGTGTGAGGAAGTCGTGTTTGGTTCGTGGGACAGTTTGTTTCATGTCAGCCTGTGTAGGATCTTGTCAGGTCAGTGAGTGCTGGACAGCTGGTTTGTAACCCAACTCCTGTGCTAGCTCTCGGAGCATTCAAACACATATGTGCTCTGTTACTCTCAAAAGTTTACAGTAGAGAACATGCCATGGAGAGTTTTCTGGGGGTTGCTTGTTGTGGGTCGTTAATCTACAGTTTTGTTGTGTGCAGGTTTCACGTCAGTTAGAATAACTTGCAGTTCAATTGCTAATCCTGCAGTTCTCCTTTGAGTCGAATCATTTATTTGACTTCCTATTGTCTAGGTTTGGTTTCTGAAAGTAGGACATTTAAAAAAAATGTTGTTGCATTCTTTGTGTTGGTCCAAAATTGGTGGTACCATGGAAAAATACTCTCCTGCCAGTATCGTGCCATCCATTTTTTCCAAAGTGTTAATGTGTTGCGTTTCCCTCCGGGCCAGCTGAATAAAAAGACAAGGGGTAATGAGTAACATTCCCTCATTATCATGGCCAACACCATTGTCATCATCCATCCTCTGTTTACTTGCCAGACTTCCAATAAAGCAGTGGTTCTTAAAGTTTTTCCCCCCTTTTTGTCTTTAATAACCCAACAAAACAGTGAGAGACTGAGTCAGCTAGATCCTAAAATCACATCAAGATCATGACCTTTTCTTTCGCTTTTCTTATTTATTTATTTTTTCTGACACAGATGTTGTGTTTTTTTGTATTTGTTGGACTTCCTACTGTCCACTGCCAGAGTTGTCAGACTGGTCACTCCTAGTGTACCCCAGCTTTCATTGTGAACTGAAGAGCAAGAGAAGTCCTATTTTCTTTTGAGTACCGTGTCTTATATATCTTGCAGACTTTGCTTGTTTTTCTTTTATATGTCTCTGTCAACTATCTGTCCATGCTGTAAATCACATATGTCTGAATGAACACTTTGCCACTTTTAAAGCACAAGTTGTCTTAAAGAGATTATAACATCTGAAACCAGAGCCCTCTCTTGTGATTGGCCAACCGCTTTGAGATGTCCTGCCCCTTAATCTTTTAAATACAATATGTTTGAGCGCAAGTGTTACATAGTGATGTCATTTTGATGCAGAAGTAAACAAAGGAGTCCAATGGAGGAGTTTCAGGCAGGGAGGGGAATGTGTGGGAGAGAAACTCCCTCTGGAGGGATCGTTGGGATTTTAGCCTTTGCAGACCATTGAAATGCACAAAAGCCTATCGAACACTTTTTTTTTAGGTAGCTGTATTTTCATATTAAAAGAAAAGAGTTCGACTGGGTTTTATCATCTTGTATATATTTGCCCCCCCCCCACCATGTCATCTCACGCTCGCTCTGCCCTTCCCATCATTCCTCGCTGTTCCTCATATGTGTGTTTGCTCTCATTCTCTGTTTGTGTGCACGTCATCAGGAAAGAGCTTAGACAACAGCTCGCTTAAGGCGCAATCCAGCACGAGCTCCCAGCCCGATAGCTCTCAGGGCTCCTCAGCTGCTGTGTTCTGTAAGTTAGCATGGCCCCCTCCAAATGCAGCCTGACACACACACACACACACACACACACACACACACACACACACACACACACACACACACACACACACACACACACACACACACTGCACTAGCAATTCCACTTGACTAAAACCTCCCTTGTGTGTATTTCATCCAGCGTCCCTGCATATATTAAAAGCATACATGTGCTACCATTTAGCACCACTAATTCCCCCTTAGTACCCTGACTTAAACTGTGCTTTATGTCTCCATTACAGTGTTCTTAGTCGGCACCATACTACTTGTTGACAGTCTAACACATCCAATAACAACATAAATAGTGAAGGAAAAAACAAGCCATTCTAGATAACCGTGAGATGCTTTGTAGTATTTCTACTCGCAACATGTTTGTAGAATAACTCATAGTCTCGTTCTCATGGGCGCAGATGGAATAGCAACACAACACTGCTCCATGACTATCTGGGTCTTTGTTTGTCAGACATTTCCAAGCATGACTTTTGTTCTGTGTTCCCTTCAACATCTGTGTGGCAAGCTTTGTTTTTCATCTTAATGGCCATCATGCCATCAACCTTCTCCCATGTGCACTGTCTCCCATGTTCCTCCCTTCCTTCCATCCTAAACTCAGCTACTACAAAGTTTGCTGACCTGCTGGGCTCAGTGCGTAGGGGCTCAGGGCCCACATCCGACGGGGAAGGGACATCCTGCACTCCACCTCCCGCTGCCCTCTCCGCCCCCTCCCCTCCACACACCCCCATGCAGAGTAAGTAGACGAGGGAGAGTACTGTAGACGACCGCTGGAAGAGAAAATAGAGGACATCAAACATAAATCGGGATTCACACTTCCTCGGTCAATGCCTGCGAAGATGGATCGAGTCCGTCTTTTATGTCATGTTGGAAAATAACTAAAACTGCTTATTTTTAAGATCAACGTAGTGTTTTATTTTATCTGCATCCCTAGTTTTTTCTGCATCTTTAAAAATCCCTATAAGATTTGTGCAGTTTTTCTTTATTGTCAAACATTTTAAGTTAGCACTATAAAGCTATTACATTTTACATTACACAACAACCCATACTGTAACTGCAGAATCCAAAATATATCGATAACATAATTATAATTCCCTTTTTATACATGGTTTATACCAGATGTAGCACTTCAGTATGGATGAATTGGATTATAGCCCAAATAAAATAGTCAAATTTAATGTTTTTTATTATTTTTTAAATATGATTATAATTGCGTAGTTGTGCATCCATTAAATGTTTTACATATTTGAAGGATACCTGGAAATTATTAATAATTGTATACAAATGAAAGGTTTTCGGATAAATGAAAATATATAAAACTTTGGTTTTAATGAAAACCACCGGACCTCTAAATCGTCTTCTGTAAGGACTTTGTAGTGCAAAAAATATAATTAGTAGTGTAAATAATGTTATTTAATGTATAGTTACCTCAATATCAGAATTCCTTTATTTGTCCTGCAACGGGGACATTTATTGTATTACAGCAGCAGAAGTATAGTGCAGAAAATGTTACCAAAAATATACAAATAAGAGAATGTTTTTATTTCTTCATCCCTTTTTGTTCTCTAATCTATTTATTTACATTACTCCACCACAATCAACCCATCCTTCCTGCATTGCCGGCCCTCAGTGTCTCGGCTCACTGACCTGGTAAGCAGCGTTCGCAGGGCGGCGCCGGCGGCCCCTGCGCTCAATTCTGACGCTGCACCGGTGCCTAGTGCCAGGCCCACCCCTCTAAACGCACACACCACCTCCCCACATCCCCCCCACTCCCCCTCCAGCCCTCCCCTGTCTTCTTCCCAGAGTGAGTACCGACCTTACACATATTTTCCAATCACGGGTCCTAACCGAATGACATCCACTCACTGCAGGCCTGTGCGTGAGCAAGCGTGTGTAACAGCCAGTGTATTCTGCTTTTGGAGCATAAAATACTGTACATTGTACGTGTGGTAAACTGCTCTTCAGGTTAGAAGTTGGACCCTCTAGATGTGTGTGATTTTTGCTTCTATTAACATAATCTTCAGTAGGCTTATTGCACGCAGATGTAAGCATCGTTTGGTTGCTTTTGAATAGTTGTGATGTACACTAATACACAAGTGACATTGTTTGTGGTGTTTGTGACAGTCCATCAGGATCACATGAGTGACTCATGTCTGTTTGTATGTTTGATGTTATTTGTATTACCCAACTAATCGAGTGCATTCAGTGCATTTTTCCCAGATGGTTGTAAAAAAATGAAATTAAAGCAAGTTCACTATGAAGCATAAATGTCCAGCTCATTACAATAATGACCAGAGAAGTTGAAATTTTATTTTGAGTTGTTTCACATAAAAGTGTGCAAGTCGATTTTGACAGGATAACAACTGTTGACTTCTAGAATTGTGTGAGTAACATTCTGTTTTTAGACTTCTCTGTTTCAGTGTGTGTACTCTGTATAAATGCTCTGTAGTTGATCTGATTGAAATTGTGATTTTAAATCTCAAAACCGCTACAGTATCTGTCAGGCAGAAACTTGGGACAACTCATTTGCTAGGGTTAACTTTGATTTAAACATTTGTAGAATACTAAGAGCTTTATTGAGTAGGTGTAACTGTATTAAGGGTTAAACTCATAACTTTATAACTTAGGCTTTAATGTAATCGTAAAACCACTGTGCCACTGAAAATACAATAACAACTCAGGAGGGAAGCAGTCTAGATTTCCTTTGAGGGCCACCAGCTGCAGAGAGTTAACTAATTAAAGGGGCGTGGCCCCACAGCTGTGAAAAATCAGCAATCAGGTGTCCATTTTAGGTAACTTTCCAAAGACATTAAAGTCCTGTGGGAGTAAGACTGACAAAGACATTAGAGTCCTGCGGGAGTCACGAGGGAGGCAAAGAGGATTCAAATCCTACTCAGATTGCGCTAGGTATCGCTGGTGTTTTACTTTATTTTCTTTAGTTTTCTAGCCCCTCATGCTATAATCATGTGTATTTTCTCCATTCCTGTTTATGTGTTTTCTCGCAATTATCACTGGCCCCGTGTATCTCCTAATCGATATAACCGGCCTGCTCTTGTCTATCCCACATCCTCCACTGAGATCCAACATCTAGTTTCAGGGGGCCTGTGGAACTGCCAGTCAGCTGTTCCTAAGGCTGACTTCATCTCTGGCTACGCTTCCCTGCAGTCTCTGGATTTCCTTGCTCTCACTGAGACCTGGATTACTCCATCCAACACATCCACCCCAGCAGCTCTCTCCACAGCATATTCCTTCACCCACACACACAGACCCTCTGGTGGAGGAGGTGGCACTGGTCTCCTGCTCTCTCCCAACTGGAGCTTTTCCCTCTTCAAGCTACCTAACTTCACTCCTTCCACCTTTGAATTCCATGCCGTCACAGTGACCCATCCTATACAATTAACCATTGTTGTTCTCTACCGTCCACCAGGCGCCTTGGGGGACTTCTTGGAGGAATTAGATAATCTCCTCTCACACATCCCTGAAACTGGCCATCCCGCTGTACTTCTCGGAGACTTCAACCTCCAGACAGGGAAGATATCTGCGTTTGATAAAAGGTCAGCTAATGTAAATGTAACCAATAACCCTGAGGTGTTCTACTGAAGTATCTCAAAGTTACTCAGTCCACCTCATCATCACATTCGTAAGTGCCAGTTGCAGAGTTACCAAAAGGGGGGGGGAAAATGGTGATAAACGAGATATAATAGAATACAAATAAATTAAAACGCACACACTAATTCACATATTAGAGTCAAGTCCGAAGACGTGTTGTCTGGGTCAGTGGTTTTGAAAGTGGGGGGGTCGTGTGAGTCTGGGATGTGTTGTGGAAATAAGACTTCAGCACGGCTGCATCTCATATTCTGTGAGTGTGATTTAAACGGATCAGGCCAGCAAACATCCGCAATTTAGCAAAAATCTGCAAACATCAAACGCAATATCAGAGAAAATAAATAACAGAAGACGAATCGAAACTGTTAGTTTTTCATTTCCTGGCAAACATCACAGATCCTGGGAGCTCAAATCTCTGACTCAATAAACCCCAGAGGGGCATTTTCTAACTGTTTTTCCATCATATACAACGTGTTAAACGTTACCGGTCCTGCCATGCGGGCCTTTGAAAGACTATTGTTTTTAATGGAAATGTTAACTCAACATACCAACATGCTGCACGTCCAGAATTCCATGTTACGAGGAAGGTGAATCCAGTTACTGGACATTCATGAGGTTTGTCCGGTCTGAAACTGACCTCTGACTTTGTGTTTTCAGATTACTTTTACAAAAAGTTGTCGACTTAGAAAGGGGTAAACATACAACTAAAGTGGAAACCTGCATTAACTGAATATGGGGGAAAATTATATAGTTTGTCCCTTTTATATAGCTTTTCCAACTTCTCACTTTTTGCCACTTTTACTGGAATTTACTGCATGTGCACTACGGCTGCTGATTTGGAAATGATAATAAATAAATAAACCAGTGTATGCAAACACAATGTGTACACACACCACCACACAACACACACACACACACACACACACACACACACACCACACACCAACACCACCAACACACACCATGGTTTAATAAATATCACTTCAGGGGACATTACAATTGACTGACAATGCTTTCCTAGAGAATATTCTAACCTAACGAAGACTTCACCCTAAAATTAATGATTCCCCTTATGGGACCTCTCCTTATGTGAACTGTGTAAACAGATGTAGGTCCCCACAAGGGATAGTAATGCTAGGTCAAACACCACCACACACACACACACCACACACAACACCGCCCACACAACACACACACACACACACACGCACCACAAACACAAGCACACAGCGGTTAGGGCACCCTCTCTAACTGAAACATAACAAGAAACTCCCTCTTAAGGGAACTTTGGGTTTTTAAGCTTTGTAGACCATTACATGCACAACAACCTATCGAACACACAACAGGAGACAGGAACAACGCTAAGAAGCAAGACTAGATCCTCTTAATTCAATTGCCTTTTACCCTGGTTTTTGTTTAATGAGCTAGTAAAAAGTAAAGCAGGTGCAAATGTGTTTCCTTAATGTCCAGCTCGAGGTATCTGGAGTTCTTGGTTCCGCGTGGCTAAATGGATCTTCACTATCATCAATCATGGTAGAGCTCATTTTCCTTCCAAACAATTAGGCAATACTTAATTGGACTAAGCTGGCTAGTGTCAACGTGAACAGAACAGAGAAGTATCTGTGAGATGCTATTTATAAATCAAGCAAGTATTGTGTATGTTTCTCTCAAAATGTAAATTACGTTTTAAATAGGAGGACATATAAAAACTGATTATGAGGTAATTGGAGCAAAACAAAGATGATTGGTGTTTTGTAGTGAGACAGTGGGACACAGCTTTTTTCACGCGATTTGAGCCCCTCAGTATGTTCTGGTATAAAGCAGGGGTGTCAAACTCATTTTTCATCTCGGGCCCACATTAGGCATTATGGTTGCAATCAAAGGGGCGTTGTAACTAATATAATATAACATATATAATATATAACATATATAAAATAATGTTTTTTTTTTTTTTTTCATTTTACATGATTGCCCTCTGATTGGTAATTATCCGGACGAGTAAATAACTTCATAATGAACTATGTCTGAAAGCAGAAGTCCAGGGCAAACACTTGAGTTTTGACACCCTGAAGGTTACTAGTACAACT